TAGTTATGTGCGAAATTGTCAGTCATTTTTTCCTTGCATAGGTTTAAAAAATTTTCCTGTAGTCACATTCATCCAGTCACTTTTCCTTCAATAATTTCACTTTTTATTTGTAACTGTCTTTAAATCTGAAAAATAAGACATCGATTTATTCACAATCATCATTTACTTATAACAAGAGCAAATGTGTAACTTTTTTCCTATTTTTAGAATAATTTTTTTTTTAATTTTTTAGAAACTGGTAAATCTTCTAAAAGTGCATCTTCAGAAACTCCAGAGGAAAAAGAAGCTTGTATTGATGATATTCCAGTTCCAATGGATAAAGAAGAGTCAAGTCCAACAAACGGAAAAATTGACGAAAAAATTAATAAAAATAATAAAGAGGAGGGAAATGGAAAAATTGAAGCAGTTCATTTAATTGCTGGTAAGGAGGAAGAACTTGTATTGCCTGCTTTGGAAGAATATGTTGTTTCCTCGACTTCAACTACTTCAAATACTATTGGTATATTTAAATATTATTGGTTTTTAAAAATGTACGCAAAAGTTGTCCATAAATGAAAAAATATTCCCAAAAAATATTCTCATTTTCTTAAACTAAAAGATGAGATTATTTTCGAACATGTTTTTGGTCTTGATTAAAGAATTTTTTTCTCCGGAAGCATTGATCATTGCATTGTCTATTTAATACAGGGTTAAATGTATTTTTTCTTGTAGATCTTTTCGCTGAGGTTTTGATTATTAAAAATTATCGAAAAAATATATAAAAGTAATTGAGAAAAGGAATACATATATCCACACAGTTTGAAAAATTTGCGTATATTTTGAATTTTTTTGAACCATTTTTCTAATCCAATTAAATATTTTTCATTTAATTTTATATTTTTTAAAGATTCTGGTCAAAAAATTAAAACACCAAAAAAGACTACACCGATTAAAGAAGAAAAAAATCAAAATATTGTTGAACAAGTTGAAGAAGGTCCAAGTAGTAGTAGCAGTAGTTTGGATATTAATAAAGATAATAAACCTGGAATTGCTCAATTACTTGAGGGTTTAGATGAGGGAAATATTAATAATGAAGAAGAAGATTCTGATTATAAAGTTGAGGATGATGAAGGGGATGTAGCTGATTCTACTTCTAATGAAGTTGAAGATGAGGAAGAGGTTTATTTTATTTTTTTAAAAAAAAAGGGGGGGGGGGTGGTGGTGATTTTTCAAGGGTGTATCAAGGGATTGGATTTTGAGGAGGATATATAATGGGGTTGTTATAATTTTTTGTTTTTAGAAGGTTAGGAGGAATTCAATGGTTTCCTTTTTACTATTTGCAACTATTTGTAGACAACTTTTACGGAATTCACCTTAAAAATATTTTTTGTCATTTTCTATACAAACGACTTTTGTCATTTTTCGGCATATATTTTGGATAATTTTAAGTTAATGCCAAAATTATTTTTAAAGGGTGAGGCTGAAGATGGAGCTAGTGGTGAAGATGAAGAAGAGGAAGACGATGATTCTCTTGAAGAAGAAGATTTGAATTCTTTAATGATGAGGACTGGAAGTACTCGTGCCGGTTTTGATTCTGGTTCTACTGCTTGTGTGGCTTTTCTGCTTGAGGTTTTTTTTAAAAATTTAATGAAAATATCCTAAAACTCAAGTCAATCTACTGATAAATACATATTTTGTATTAAAGATTTTTATTTTTAGATTTTTTTATTTTAACCTATTCAAGAAAAAATAGTTTACGATGAACCTTTAACTAAACATTTAAACACGGCCAAATAGTTTTTTTATTTTAATTTATTTTTGGGTGATTGTATTTTTATGTTGTAAAGATCAGGAGAATTACCTAATTTTAAAAATCTGAAAAATTTTAAAATTATAAAAAATTTAAACAGAAGCATATAATTGTTGCTAATGTTGGAGACACTCGTTCTGTCCTTTGTCGTTCCAAGAAAGCTTTAGACCTTTCATCAGATCATAAGCCTGAAGATGACTTGGAAAAGGAGAGAATTGTTGCTGCTGGTTTGATATTTTAAAAATTAATTCAGAATTTTTTATTCTTTTAAGGCGGAAATGTCAGTTCTGATGGACGTGTTAATGGAGGTTTGTGTGGGGAAAAATAATTATTTTTTAATTTAAAAATATTCAAAAAAATTTTACTTTAATTAACAAATGTAAATTTATATTTTGAAATATTTTTTATTTTTTTAAAGGTCTCAATTTGAGTAGAGCATTTGGTGATCATTTTTATAAACAAGAATCTAAACTTCCTTTGAGTTCTCAACAAATTATTGCACTTGTAAATTTTTTTGTTTAATTTTTTATACATTCAGGCCTCTTTATAAAATACCCTCAAAAATTATCTATATACACATAAATTTAGGATACGTTTTTTAACTCAACTTTAAGTCTAATTTTGGGACTGGAACCCCCTCCCCGTATAAGATTACGTTTTAGTGTTATGGCCTTTGTTATTTCGGCATTTTATTATTATTGAGCGTTTTACTTCGGGTTATCCAATGGGACTGGTGCTCCTCTCCTCTTCCTGAAATTCGACCAAATGGGAGTAACTAAAAATAGGATTTGATCATTTTTCTCTATCTTTTTAGCCGGACATAACAGTTACTCAAAGAGATTTTGAAAATGATGATTTTTTGGTTGTTGCTTGTGATGGAATTTGGAATTCTTTAACTAGTCAACAAGTCTGCGATTTTATTTTGGAACGAATTAATCGTATTGGATTAAAAGAAATTGTAGCTGAGGTTTTTTTAATTTTTGAATTTTTTTTTTAATTTTTTAAATTTTAGATTTGTGATCATTGTTGTGCAAATGACACTGGTGGGGATGGGACTGGTTGTGATAATGAAACAATGTAAATAAATTGAATTTTGGGGTTATCTTTTCAAATTAAATTTTTTTTTTGTTATTTTTGCCTTATTTTTTTGTTTAGTTTCCCTTATTAAAGATCTATTTTCAACAAAAATTTATTTAACACTGACCGGGTTCGAACCCACTACCCTTGTAAGGCAAAACTAAACATTTTCCCACTTAACCAAGTAAATTTTTTAGTCTTGAGTTTTAGGGTAATTTTTATTTTTTATTGTAGATTAATCAATTAAAAATTTTTTTTTAAGAATTTTGATTGATCTCAAAAAAGAAAGGCCAATATCTCCACAAGTAACATCATCAACAAATACATTAAATATTGAACAAGAAAATTCAAATCAACAGCAACAACCAACAACAACAACAATTTCTTCAAATCCAACAGAAGAGCAATCAACAACAACAAAAATATTACAAAAAGAATCTCAAAATTTAAATGAAAATGAGAAAATGGAGGGAGAAGAAAAGGAAGAGGAAGGGAAGTAATGGTTAAAATAAATTTTTTTTGAAGGAAAAAAAAGTATTTTTTGGAAGAAAAGTAAGTAAATTTATTTTAGAATATTATTTTTTGATTATTTAAGAATGACTGACTATATTTATTTATGAACCTCAAAAATGGTTTTAAAAAATAAAAATTATTATTTTTTGGATATATATTACTCTACTTTTATTTTATTTATTTTTTTTTGTTTAAAAGAAGAAAAGTATAAATTTCCTTCTAAAATTTAAAATATATTTTTTGGTTATTTTAGGTGTGATTTTGAGGTATAAATTATTAATTTTTTGGAAGGTCCCTTATCTTGTTTAAGTTTTGACTTAAAGACTAAAAAAAGCACGAGGGGGTAGGGTTTTTTTAAGTATTGGATTTAGGTATATGCTAGGGATGTGACGAAACAGATTTTAAAAAGTGAAACGCGAGAGGCGAAAAATAGTTTAAAAATTATTTTCAGTTGAAGGAAATTTATTTTCTTTTTTTTTTAATTTTTAAAAAAAAATATTTGTTGTTTTAACTTACCTTGAGAAAGAGAGCTTTTTCTTTAAATTTTATTTGATATGTTAAACGGTGACATTTTTTGTTTGTTTTTTTGTTTAACCGTTTAAATTGCCAAAAAAATTGGAAAATTTTTTTATTTTTTTTTGAAATTTTTTGAAAACTTTTTTGGCAATTTTTATTTATTTACTACCTAAAATATACTCTAAAAACTGCCACAAAAATTAAAATCTACGTAATTATGTATTGCACTAGAAACACATATATACTCAATTATATTTATTTCGTGGTAAATAAATAACTATTTTGTTTGAAATTAAAAAATCCTAACCAGTTTTTAGTTAATACTTCGTCCTATTCAAGTTGACCATTTGGGGATAAAAACCATTTGGGGATATAAAAAAAAGGGATAAAAAACAGTAAATATTTACTAGAGCTGTCTAAATTTTTCTGTGACTCAAATCATCGACAACCCCCTAAAAAGTCTTATCCTCCTTGGCCTGGAGAGAGTAAGGATTAGATTTCATTAAAAATCTGGTTTATCGATTCGAAATCTATTATTCTTTGGAGATTCTCGAGTCTTTTTTGAAGTTTGGATATCTTTGAGTTACAAACAAATGAGCTCTACGCGTTCTTAAAAATTTTATTTTTATTGGCCTTGATACTTGGTTGCAATATAAAATTGGGTTTTAAAGGGATAAAACTAAGTTTTTATTAGAGATGTCATGACTAGAGCTATTTCGAAACAAAAAAAATCTCCGAAAATCGAAAGAAATCCAAAAATATTTAAGTCTAAAATACCCCCCCCCCCCTTCCCCCCCAAAAAATAACTTTAAACAATGCTAAAAATATCTATGCTTTTATTCAACCCTTTTACATATTAACATTTCTTTGGCTCCCGGACAATCCGTCAGTGGACAATCCGGCAGTGGAAAATCCGTCAGTGGACAATGCGTCAGTGGTCGGACAATCCGTCAGTGGACAATCCGTCAGTGAATAAATTCGTATTTCTAGCCTACCCAAACTACTTATTTTTCATTCTTTCGTGTGGAGGATTATAAGAGATATCGAAAATTTGGAAAAATAAGGAAATCGGCAGATTTAGCTGGATTAAAAGGATATCGGTGGATTTAAAAAATATCGGGGATTTCAAAGATATTGTGGGATTAAGGTACAAGATATTTATAGTATTATGGTGGCTTTCGAAGAATTTAAGAGATTAAAATGGATTTCGGGGATTAATTGGGATATCAAGGGATATAGCCGGATTAAGAGGATTTGTAAGTGGTTCCACGATACACATCTGAAAACAATCTCTCTTATTCATACCAAAGTCCCTCCCACGATATTCATCCAAATCCAATATACTCCAATATTTTAATCATGTAAATCTAATCCATCCAAATCCACTCTACCCTTCTATATCCATCGACATTCGCTTATAGAACCAAATTGCCCAATATCATTCAAGTCCACTGATATCCTTTTAATCCAGCTAAATCTGTCGATTTCCTTATTTTTCCAAATTTTCAATATCTCTTATGATCCTTCACACTAAGAAATGAAAATTTTCGGCCTCGGTAGTTTGGGTATGTGTAGAAATTACGAATTTTTTCACTGACGGATTGTCCACTGACGGATTGACCGACCACTGACGCATTGTCCACTGACGGATTTTCCACTGCCGGATTGTCCACTGACGGATTGTCCGGTCACGATTTCTTTATTTATTATTTAAAATTCATCCATTAATTAGTTTATTTATTTTATTTATTCTTTAATCCCCCTTTTAATTATTTACTTCATCATCATTTAATTTAATTTTGAATTTCTCCTCCATCAGTAGTAGCTTCAACATTTGGTGGAATTGTGTTTCCTCCTTTCTTTGGTTTCTTAGGTTTTTTGGTTCCTTTAGGTTTCTTTTCTTTCTTCTCCTTCTTTTCTTTTCCGTGTCCTTTGTGATGTTCTCCTCCTTTTTTGTGGGGGCAATCTGTGGTTACAGCACCATCAATCGGTCCAACTGGGTATCCCTTGAAAATTAAAAATGAAAAATTTTTGATTCAAAAAATGTAAATGTCTGAGTGAAGAATCCTCTAAAATTTAAGAAATATCTCTTCCACTTTAGTCTTTCGTTTTCTGCTTTCAAGACAGGACCATCCCTGATATAGAATCATATCGGTTATACTTATCCACTTTGAATGTCACATACTTTTAACTTAACTGATTCAACACATGGATGGTTTCATTGGGACGGGTTTGGAGGGGTTTTAGCCACGAGGATATGAAGGAGCTCATCCTTCTGTCTCGGGGTAAGTGGGAATGAATAATTTATATAAAAATTAAAAGAGAATTCTTGATGCTAATCCCCTCCTGCTTTAATAAAAATATTTTTCTACCTCTTGAGCATTAACGCTTTCCAAAACCAATTGGAGAAGAACAATAGCGACAAGAATCTTTGCGAGCATAATTTAAAGTTTTATTTTAAGTTTTTTAAATTTAGATGATGGTAAAAACTGAATGTTGTTGGTAGCATTCTAATGGGCTTATAAAGACGAAAATTTTGACAGTTAAATAAATAAGATGGAAAAAAATTTAAAACTTAAATAAAAAAGAATTTTAAATTTAAAAAAAAATTAAAAAAAATTTTTTTTAAAGAAAAAAAAACGTGGCAAACAGAATTTCGTTTAAATTACAAACTATAAAAAATTTGGTTAATTTCCGTCAAATTGTCGATAAATAATTATTATTGTAATGCTGGCGGCTTTTTAATATAATAAATGGATTAATTATTGAAATTAAAAATAATCAGAATATTTTAATAAAATTAATTTTTAAAATCAGAATTTGCACTTTTATAATTTTTATTAATTAAACTTTGCCTGTCTCTTAATAATTAATCCACGTTTAAATTAAACAGAGAATAAGATTAATTATTCAAAAATTAATTTTACTTTAAAAATTCATTAAAATTATATTTCCAGACAATAAAAATTTAATTTTATACTTTTTGAGAAAAATTTGTTTATCTAGCTATTTTAATTTGACAAAGTTTTGGCTATAAAAGAAAGTAAAAGGTAAGTTCATTTAAATTAATTAATTAATTAAAAATACAAAAATTATAAATTAATTTAAAAATGTTTTCCAAAATCTTATTAGCTATAATTATTCTCCAATTAATTTTGGATAATGTAAATACCCAAGAAGTAATATTTCTTTTATTTTTTAATTTAAAAAAATTTCAGGAAGGGGATAATGTAGAAGTAGGACCTCCAAAAGTAGTTGCGCAACCTCCAGTTGCAACAACAGAATGTGCTCACCATAAAAACAAAAATGGTGGAAAAAAGCATAAAGGAGGAAAAGGGGCGTTTTTAAAGAAACACAAAGGAACTAAAAAGCCTAAAAAGAATAAAAATGGAAGGAAAACAAAACCTCCTCAAGTTTAATGAACTAATGGATGTTTTGTTTGGATAAATAAAAATGTTTATATATTGTTGTGAAGATAAATATAAACTATTAAACTTAAATTGTTTTTAATATGAAAACATGTTTATAAGGAATGAGAATAAAATAAACATGTTTTTGAATATTATAATTGAGTTTAAAAAGAAATTAAACATGTTTGTAAGAAGAAAATAAACTTGTTTTTAAGAACTAATTAAACTTGCTTATGAACAAGCTTAAAGAACATTTATTAAACAAATTAAACTTGTTTTCCAAACAAAATAAACTTGCTTGCGGAAAACCACAAAAATTAAACTTGTTTTTAAGAAATAAAAATAAACATTTTAGAAAGACGCAAAACATGTTTTTATAAAATTTAATTTTTATCCAAATTTAGTAATAGCAAAATTATTATTATTATATCTATTTAATCTATTAATTCCTCTATTACATGTTGATAAAGTATTATTATTTATTATTCCTCTTTTAGGCGTCCATCCCAGCATTTGAGGTCCCCCATTATATTCAACTTGCCGTAAACTTTTTAAAAATTTAATTTTTTTATTAAAAATTATTCTTAAAAAATATTACCGTTGCCTTTTAAAACAATAAATTAATGAAAATACAATAGCTATAATAAGCCATGTTGAGCCGAGAATTGAACAGACGACGAGGATTAGAGCTAGAAATTGAAAAAAATTATTTTTCCAATTTAAATTTAGAAAAGAAGAAAATAATTAATTTTTAGACAATTTTACTCACTCCCCGATTCATTTGCCGCTGCTAGCAATTCCTTATCGGTCATACCGCTTTTTTCTTCTTTAAATATTTTCCCCCTTTCTTGATTGTTGCCAACTCTTTCTACAACATTTGATGTTGTTGTTGGAGTATAATGTTTTTCAAAAATGTTTGTATTTGTTGTTTTTAATTTTGTTGTTTGTTGTGTTGTTTCTAATGTTTTTGTTGTTGATGTTTCCATTATAGTTGATGTTTGTGATGTTGTTGTAAGTTTTGTTGTTGTTGTTGTACTACTGGTTGTTGATGTTTCGGCTTAAAAATAAAAGCAAAACTTAAAAACAACTTAAAAACTTTTTTTAAAAACATAAAAACTTAAAAACAAAAACATTGTTTTACAAACAAAAACAAACTTGTTTTTATAAATTTAAATATATTTTTATAAAAACAAGTTTTAAAAGCAAAACTTGTAAAGACAAAAAAATAAACTTGTTTTTAAGTAAAGGATTTTATAAAAAAAAATAAAAAACCATTAGGAGTGCATAATTTCCTCCCATCGCCATGAAAACCTTCATTACAAATACATTCAGGTATCTATTTAATATCAATCTTATTTCTAAAATTATTTTCTGAGATTAACCTCTTCATTGCTGGAATCACAATGAGCATAAACATGACAATGTTCGTTAAATCTTTTTTTACAAGGGTCGAACACTTAAAAAGTATAGTAGAAGAATATAATTAAGTTTAGCCATAAGTTTACAAACTTATTTTTCAAAAATAAACTTGTTTATAAACAAGTTTATATAAACAAAAATAAAATAAACTTGTTTTTGTTACATGTTTTTAATAAAGTTAAGTTTGCATAAAAATAAACTTGTTTTCCAACAATAAAAAATGTTTTTAACAAACTTAACAACCAAAACATACTTGTGCAATTAAATCCATTTCCAATAAATGTTGGAGCGCATGTACAAGTATACGAGCCTGGGGGCGTGTTTGAACAAGTTGCATTTGCCGAACATTTATGTAAATGAAGGGAGCATTCATCAATATCCTCAGCACAGTTTTTGCCGGTAAAACCTTTAAAAATAATTTTATTTTAAAAATTAATTAAAAAATTACCTGTAGCACACAACCCCCCTGCACACATTCCACTAGCAAAATCACAAGGAATAGAGCCAAAACAATTACAACGCGAAGCACAATCAAGTCCCCAAGTGCCTGGCTCGCATTCTTTAAAATGTTAAAAAGAAATATTTTTAAATTAATTTTTAATTACCTTGTTGGCATATTGGGGGACCCAAAGTTCCAGACTAGCAAGAGGAATATTAATAATTAAATTATTTTTTAAATTAATTTCTAACCGGACAGGAGTAAATTTTGGAAGGATTGTCGATACGAAAAATCCACTAAAAATCTTTTTTTTATTTTTTTAAATAAAAAATTCACTTTTCCAGGCTGCCCAACATTAGAATTCCTCAAAAGTAAATCGACTGGCAACGATTGGAATCCCAAAAAGGGATGGAAAATGCCTGACAACATTTGTCCATTAATAGAAATACTTTGATAAAGAAAAATAACAAAAGTTGAAAAATTGTTTTGTTTAAGATCATCGGGTGTTTGTCCTTGTATTAATGCTGCTTGGAATGTGTTGCTCTAGAAATATAAACATTAAAAATAAATTAAAATAATAAAAGTTTCCAACATGTTTTTAGACAAACATTTTCTTGAATGTTTTTAGAAATGTTTTTAAACAATGTTTTTAAATAAAAATGTTTGTAAACCTTAATAATTGAAATGTTTGTTTAGAACTTATTATAAAAATAAAAGCTTGTTTTTATCAAAAACAAAATAAACATGTTTTACAAACATTTGTTGGGCAGATAAAACTTGTTTTAATTAAATTTTTAAAAATTTTTAATCAAAAAATTTTATTTAAAAAATCAATCCATTTTTGCTCTAAAAATATAAATCAATTTGCCGTGTTGGCAAATTGAGAAATAATATTTTTAATTCATATTATTTTTTCAAACAGTTTCCTGTTAATTTATATAAGGGATTTTAAACAAAAAAGGTCATAAAAATATGTTTGTTTAAAAACAAATTATTTCAGAATAATTTTCAGAAAATTTAATTCAAACAAGTTTTAATCAGATAGAGTTAGATAAAGTCTCCTTTAAAAAAGTTTATTTTAGAATACATCTAAAATTAAACTTGTTTTACAAACAAATGCTAAAACTTGTTTTAAAACAAGTTTTATTTTAACCCAGAAAAACATATAAAATCAAAACATTTCTAACAACTTAAAAACAAGTTTTTTAAACATGTTTTATTTGTTTAATTTATTTCAGAATAAATTTTCAGAATTTTTTCCAAACATTGTTCAATGAGAATATCGTTGTTTTTAGTTACTTTATTAACTGTTTTTATTACCTCAATATTTCTTACTTTTATTTTTCTTAATTATTATACACAAAAAGGTTAATTAAATTAAAATTTTAATAAAATTATTTTTAAAATTTTTTTTCAGATAAATATACAACTTCTGAAAAACTTCACGTTCCCCTTTTAGAATCAATTCCAAATAACGGGAAGGTAAAAAATATTTTTTTTAATTTTTACAAAAATTCTCTTTTCAAAAAAGGTCGATCCCCGTGTCCACTACGAAAAAGGAAAAAACGGAATGATTGCTAAAATGGATATTGATTTGGGTATTATAAAACATCCAAAAAATATTAAAAAAGAAGGAAATATTGAAGCTAAAATTTAATTTATTCAGAAAATTTTTTAAGGGCAAAATTAAAAGCGAAGCACGCGATTTTTTCTAAGCTCATTTCTTTTTTTTATTAAAAAATTATTTTAAAAATTATTTTTTAAATTCACCATTTCTTCGGTTAAATCTTTTTGTGTTGTTACAAGTTTGTTAAATGTTGCAACAATTAATTGGGTAGCCTGAAACTCCGCAATTCTAAACCCATCACGAATTAAAAGCGAAGCACGCGATAAAAGTCCCCCACGCCTTCTACGTTGAAACGAGTCACCTAATAGTTGTGTTTTGTCTGTTTAAAATAAAAAAATGTGTTTTAGGAAAATACAAATAAAATTATTTTACAAACAAGTTTTAATTATAAATTGTTTTTAAACAAACATGTTTTAATGAGGACGTTTTAAGGATGTTTTAACTTGTTTTAAATTAAAAAAAACATGAATAAACAAGTTTTAGTAAATCATGTTTTAATAGCAAAAATCGATTTAAAATAAAATTTGTTTTAAATAAACTTGATTTAAAACAAACTTGTTTTTTATATATAAACTTGTTTATATAAACTTGTTTTTATAAAAACATTTACACTTTAACATAAATTAATTTCCTTACCTTCATCAACAACCATTACATCAATAATACTTCCCATAGATTTAGTGTCATAATTAGCAACTAACGGCAATATCAAAGGAGGCAAACCACCTCCATTATCAGTAAAAATGTTTGATACAATAGTTTCGTTAAGTGGTGCCCCAATTGAAATAATTCCCTTAGGTGAGACATAAAATGTAGAATATTGTTTCCCAAAAATATTTAATGTTTTCCCATGTTCTAAATGAACTTCCTTAGTTGTTAATGGAGAAAGATTGTTGTTAAATAGAGATGAGGTAGTTTGTTTAGTCGTTGTTGGGAACAAAATGCTTTCTATGTAAAAAGATGTTTGTAAACAACTTGTTTATAAACATGTTTTATAAAAAATGTTTTAAATAAACTTGTTTTTAATATAAACAAACTTTTAATTAAACTTGTTTTTAATATAAACAAACTTTTAATTAAACTTATCTTAAAGAGGAAAATAAACCTAATAAATAAACTTGTTTGTTTTTAAAACAAACAAGTTTTGTTTTCAAGTTTATTAAAAACGCTTAATTGAACAAGTTTTAGTCAAACTTAAGTTTATAACTCAAGTTTACTAGTAAACTTTTGTTGGAAACTTAAGTTTGTAAACTTCTATAATTTAAGATTCACCATGACATTGACGGCCATCACCAATAAAACCTTCAATACATTCACAATGGAAACTTCCTTCCAAGTTTGTCTAATGAAATTAGCAGAAATTAATTTAATTTTGTTAATATTTTTATAAACATTTGGCCCTAAGAAGCAGCCAATTTTTTTTAATTATTTATTTAATTAAAAACTTACACATATTGCTGATCCTTTATGACAATTCGAAGCATCCGCACATTCATCAATATCTTGACAATGATTGGAATTTGATTGACGTTCAAACCCGGCATTACAATCACACCGAAAAGAGCCTATTAGATTAACACAGGTTGCGTGTCTTTAAAATTTTTAAAATTTTTTTTATAATTTTAGCAATTTTCATACTTTCCGCAATAATATTCAGCAGTTAAACATTCATCAATATCATTACACCCTTCCCCATTATTTGGATCGCCATTAAACCCAGGTGAGCATTCACAGTGAAAACCGCCGATTGTGTTTTGACAGCGGGTATTTGCGTGTGGACAAACATTCTCCAAAGTATTAAGTACAGCACTCTCTGCACATTCGTCAACGTCTGTTTTTAGAAAAAATATGTATTTTAGACATTAAATATACAAAAAATATTTTAATTACCAAGGCATCCTTGACCATTGGGGTTAGCAACAAAACCTGAGTTGCAAACACACTAAAAAGAATTGAATAAATTAAATGTTCAAAAAAGTTTATATTGAAGAAAAACATGTTTTATTTAAATATTAAAACATGTTTATTTAAAATTAAGTTTGCAAAACAAGTTTATTAAAAACAAGTTTGTTGCGAAACAAGTTTATTTAAAACACACCTAATTTAATTAAAAATAATAAAAACATCAAAAAACAAATTGTTTTGAAAAAGTTTATTTTGCAAACAAATTTGTTTTAAAACATGTTTAGAGAAACAAGTTTGTTTTAACTTATATTAAATACTTTCTGACTCTGACCTGATAAGAACCAGGAAGATTTTGACATTCAGCATTTGAACCACAAATTTTTTCATTTTTAGAAGCACATTCATCTATATCCATACATGCCTGTAAATTAATTTTTAATTTAAGATAAATTTTTGTCTACCACTCTTCCATCTCCTTGCCATCCAGGGGCACATCTACACTCTCCCCCTTCTAGACAGATACCTTGTTCAGCTATACATTGACGATGACAATCAGCAAAAATTAAATTAGATGAAGGAATAAGTGTTGTAGTTGTTTTGGGTATTGATGTTGAGGGGATTGGTGGAAGTAAATTTGGATGGGGACGAAATTTTGACTGGGATGATAGAGGAATATTGGAAGGATTAGAAGGTAATAAAGGCGTTAATTCATTTAAGGATGATTGTTGAGAGAGATGAGGAGATAAATTATTCGGTGGAGAAGGATGAGAAGGGCGTACACCGGCAAATAAGGGCTTTAAAATAAAATAAAGAATTATCCATGTTTAATTAATTATAATTAAACTTTAGGTTTGTTTTCAAGATTAAGCTTAAAAACTAATTTTAAGTAAACTATCTTAATTTTCAAGTTTTACTTAAGTTTTAATAAATTTGAATCAAGTTTAAGTTTGAAATTAAGTTAGTCAAGCTTAAAAACAAGTTTGTAAAAACATGTTGTAATAAAAACATGTTTGTTTGTAAATATATTTAAAACTTGAAAACAAAAATAAACTTGAATTAAGTTCAAGCTTCAAGTTTATTTTATAATTCAAGTTTAAACTTAAAGTTTTACCTGAATAGTAACAGGCAAAACTTTAATTGACAATCCATTATTATTTATTGCTTCATTATTTATTCCTAAAGGTTGTCTTTCTTGTTGGCGTCTAGTATTTGTTAAAGTATTTTTTGTTTTAGGCCCTAATTGAGGAATTAAGGAAAGAGAAGCTATTGGAACTTGAATTCTTTCTTTTCCTTCTTCTTTAGAAAAAATTAAATTTTGATGAGAAATGGAAGAAGCTTCTGTTGAAGGTTCTAAAGCAATATTTGTTGAAAAAGGAGAATCTGGTTGGGGGGATACACACAATCCTGTCAGGTTATCGTATTCAACACAAAAACAAAGAAATGAGCCGGGAGTGTTCTAAAAACAAAATTAATTTTTAAAATTTCATCTCTTAACCATGCAATCAGGCTGTTCATCTGGACATGTAGTTTCTGGATTGGCACATTCATCAATGTCATCATTACATATTGGGGGTCCCTGCCAACCTTTTTTTAATTTTTATTTAACAATAATTAGTTAGCAATACTTACCGGGACTACATTTAGATTCAGGACATTCGCCTGTATCAACATTACAAGCCTTGCCATCGGCACAATGACAAGACTTTGAACTAAAAATAAATTTTATGAGCATTAGAATAAACATGAAAATTATGTCGCAGAGAAACAAGTTTAAAACAAGCAAAAAATAAAACATCAAAACGAAAAATTAAACTTGGAAACAAATATTTTAAAATTAAACGAGGAAAAACAAATAAACATATTTAAAAACAAAACTTTAAACAAAAACATAAAAATAAACTTTAAATCGAACAAATAAAACTTTAACAATCAACTTCAAAATAAACTTAGAAATAAACTTAAAAATAAACATTAAAACAAACAATTTAAAAACAAACAAGCGCCAAACAAACAACTTTAAAATAAACTTTAAAACAACCATACCAGTCCATATACCATTGTAATGGCAAACACGAATCAACACATTCTATATTTTTATTCAAAAATATTATTTAAATTTCTAAGCTAACCCAATCCTTTAAATCCAGCCCCACAAAGAAAAACACGTTCAGGATTGTCAATTCTTATAAGCCATTCACCAGGTATTCCGATATTTGATTGTTGTGTTACTTGCAAAGATGTTTTTCCTGAACCGGGAAAAACAAAATGTTTGGATTGTTGTTTTGAATGTTTTTCTTGTTGTCGTTTATGTCTTTCTAATATAGGAATAGCCTCAACTCTTTTATGTTTTTGTTGTTGAATGTTTTGTTGGGTATTTAAAATGTTTTGTTGGTTAAATGATGTTTCTCTCTTTTCCTCTTCTTCTCTAATTTCTTCAGGTATTTCTTCGACATCGGCTATAGGGGAAGAGTTTGTTAATGTTTCTTCTTCATTTTTAATTTCTTCATTATCTTGTTGTGAAGATTGAGGGCCATTAATTCCTATCTATATTGTTTCTGGCGTTTTGGGGATATTTTGAAAAATCAAAACCTACAATTGCTTCTTCCTCAGGAATGTGACTATAAACAAAATGGGCAAAACAAGCATTTTTATCGAGTATCAGGGCTAATTGGAATAATACATTATTATCTCCTTCTCCTTCCTCTAGCCAAGTGATGATAATTACAGATTGTGGAGTAAAGGAGTTACCGTAGCGGAATTGGATATTAACCTCGTTTTGGGCTAATCCCAATGTATTTTCATCTTAAATTATTTGTTTTAGGTTAAAAAAGGAGAAAACACAAAAAATACAAATAATTCACCAATACTTTCCCTCACAAAAAGCCTTCGTTTATAACTTCCACTATGTTCACTTTCTGTCCAGAAAACGGCAATAAGAGGTTCCCCCGATTTGATTGGAATTTGTGTGGGCATACCAGCACCAATAAATGTAGGACTTAGGGAAACAAGGCCGTTACGACAAATCTAGGAAATAAATTAAAAATGAGGTATGATTGAGGAATGGATATTTTGAAATCCTTCAAAAAATACCCAGATTTTGTCAATACTTTTTCCCATAAAAAGTATTGGTGTGCTCGGTCTAAATTCATTATATTCCTGCACCAATTCGGCATCCCCATTTTTCACACCATAAGGATAAAGTCTGGCTGAGAAAACAAAGGGTACCTTTTTTAATAAATAATAAAATTTTAATTAAATTTTGATAGTTAATTTAATAATTTAATTAAAAATGAGTAAAATAAAAATTTTCCATACAGTAATATTAAGATCTATTTGTTGGGCACCAGAACTGGAAATTGGGGCCTCTAGCAACTGACGCCGTTGTCTGGCTACAATAAATTAATTTAAAATTTTTTTCAATGAACATACATTTATTTAAAAAATAAAATCTTCTCCTTTCCATTTTAGAAAAAATTGAGTTATTTCTGGGAGGATTAAGAGTTGAATTAATTTCAGCCAAAAATTGAGGTAAAAAATTGATAAAAATAATATTTGTCAAAAATAATAATTTAAGAGGCATTTTTCTAGTAAATAAAGAAAATACAACCGGAAAACTATATAAAGAAAATACAAACAAAACACAAAAAAACACATCCGGAAAATACTCGGAAAAATTAATTGTAAAAACATCCGGAAAAAATAATGTAGGAAAACACAAAAAATACCGGAAAACATCAATAAACATAAGTGGAACAAGTAAAAGGAAAACACAAAATAAAGAAAACACATCCGGAAAAACACAACAAAAATACATTCCAGATCAATTTCCATTCATTACCAAAATATCAATTTCCCTTTTGATTGCGGGTGGATTTTTAATGTGAAAAGATGAGGGGAGGTAAAAGGGGAAAGGAGTATTTGTTTGTTGTGTGCCGGCGGCGCCAATCCCAATCGACCGGTCAAAATCGGATGATGAGAAAAATAAAAAAAGAATTTTCTTCAAGAAGTAGAAGAAAAGAGGTTCAACGAATTTAAAAAATAAAAAAATTTCTCCCTCTAAAAGACAAATAATCTAAAAATAAGTAAAGGACACTTTGGAGGGGTGAACTCCTGCCGAGAATGAGTTGAAGGGAAAAAAATAAAAAAAATTTATTTTAAAAAGAAAACTCAAACCCTTATATTCTTCTATTTCTCCTTTCTTTTTAATCCAGAAAATTCCGTTTTTTATTTTAGTACTGCGCAAAGACGGTGATTATTGGGGTGCTATTACTTTAAAAAAAGTATGCTAACGATCTTGCAATAATTTTGGAAAGGAAAAAAGAGAATTAAAAAAAAGAAATAAAAAATAAAAAAGAGAAAAAAGAGATGCCAAAAAAATTTATTTTTTTCTATCAAAATAGCCCCAGTAAAACTTAATCGGTAGATCTTGTATGTGGTGAGCGAAAGTTAATTTAGTAAAGTAAAATTTTACATCAAATATTTGTATTTAGAAATTATCAATTGCTTAAATTGGTAGCTTTTTTCAAATTAATGATATGGTGAAATTGGGCAGAAATATTTGCATCTTTTCGAGAAGCCTCTCTGCTTGGGATGAGAGGCTGCTTTCAATGTTTAGGCTAAACCTACATACTTCAACTGTTCTGGCATTTTAGACCCGTCCTTCGTTCCGGAAGGAACATACATTTAAGGAAGAAAAGAACGGTTTAAATTTTTCTAAAAACATGAAAAAATTGTCTTAATCTTGTAATAAATTTTTATTTGCTTTTTTAAAAAATTTTCCTGACTTTCTAAGAATACTAGCTAATAAGTACATATGTATTAATAAAAATTGTTTTTGTTCTAAATAAACACAAAAAATATTTACATTTTATTTAACATATACAGTCACAAAAGAACAATCTTTTTTTATTGTTAATATGGTGGAATGAGATTTTTAATTTAACTACAAAAAATATTTATTTTTATTTATTTACAGATCATCAACATCCATTTTTCTCCCTTCTTTTAATTAATTTAAAATATATTTATTTATTTACATTTATTTTATTGTTGTTGTTGTTTTGAGGGGGATTTTTAAAGAGCTGTTGAGATGAAAGTTTAAAATTTTAATTTTTTAAATTAATTAATTTATTGTTGTTTTTTCTATAAATTTTTTCTTTAATTTAGGCATTTTGAAGGTTTTTTGGAGTTTTAGAGATTTTTAAATTTTTCTTTAATTTTTAGGGGGTAATTTTTGGAGATAATTTTTTTGTTGTTGGTATTTTTTTCGTCGTAATTTTTTAAATAAAAATTAAATAATAGAGAGAGAAATATTAGTAGTTAAATATTAGTAGTTGCTCTAGGCCCTCCCAAAAAATTTTTTCCAATTTTTTTTACAAAAATAATTTTTTTTCCTTCCTTCTCTCTTCATTTAGTAGATAACAACAATTAAATATATTCCTCCTTTCCTCTCTCTATTTTTCTATTTTTTCTTCCTCTCCAAAATTATTTTCATTTTTACTTTTATCAAAACAATAATTTTGTTGTTGTCCTCTAATTTTTCCTCTTTTAATTTTAATTAAATTATTTGTTGGAATTATTGGAATTAATATATTGTAATTTAAAGGTTTTTGACGACTTTTAATCCAATAATGATTTCGTAAAAGTTCCCCAGCATCTTCTCGGCATTTTAAAAGACAGAAAGGGTCTATCTAAATTTTTTAAAATTAAAAATATTTTTTAATCAAAAACTCTTAGGTCAAGGAATGAAGGTCCGAATCCTAATCATTTCCCATTTGAATAAAAAAATTTTTTTTAGCTGTTTCCTAGAATTAAAAAAATTCTGCATTCTGTTTTACATTTTTTAGCAAACCCCAACTAAAATAAAGATATTTTCATAAGTGGGATTCGAACCCGAGACTACACCAAAAATTAATTGGCGTGAAATTACCTCAAAACTTGTTAAAAAATTCAAAATTGTAGGAAAAATTTGTATCCTCCATATTTATTACGAAATGTATTATGGAGAATTTTTTTTCAGAAAAATTTCAAATTTTTTTGAGGTAAGCTTTCAAACTCTTTTTACAATTTCAACTAAAATTTGGGAAATATTAAACCAAAAAATCTGAAATTTTGGAATTTATTAGTTAAAACTTTTGAGGATAAATATACAAAATTTTAGGTTTAAAGTTATCTTTTGTGTTAATTTGAAAGGAAAACTTAGGGGGCCAAACCAAACTATTTTTAAAATAAAAACCTGAAATATACTCGTTAACGACTCAGTAATTCTCTTCCATTCTTGTGTTGTAAATTCTAACATAATCGAAAGTGTTGAGAGGGCTAAAACAGAAGAAGAATAAGACCAAACTAAATGTCCATTTGAAACAATTAACTTTAAAAAAATTTAAAATGAAAAAATATTTCTTTTTTAAAAGAAAAACCTCAAAATTACGACGCAAAATACGTGAAACAGCCAAATGGGGAGTTCCTATAACTGCCAACATTGCATGCAAAAAGCGGTCAAAACCTTTAAAAATTAAAAGAGGTTAATTTAAAAAATAAATTGGAAAAAAATTTTTTAATTAAAAAGACGGAAAGTAATTCGGAACCTTCCCCCCCTATCCCCCACAAAATTTACTATAAATGTACATATTTAACCAGAACCACTAACCAAATAAAATAAAATAAAGGGTGAAAATTATTAATTTAAAAATCAATTATTAATTTACTTGGCAACAACAAATCCCAACTAAGTCTAGCAAGTAATGTTCGCTCCATCCGATTTAATTCCTGGAAAAATTAATTTTAATAAAATTTTTAAAACAAAATATTGGAATAAAAAATTGTGGAGAGAAAAGAGGAATTTTAAAGTATCAAACTGACAATGAGAGTCGTGGATCAGGGATGTTATACAGTCCTTGAAAAATGGAAACATTTGTTTTAAAAATAGGGCAAGGTGAAAAAAGCAATTTTTGAATAAAAGCTATTTTTGTCAATTTTAATACAAAAGGCGTAATTTCGAAAAAAATATTTCGAGGAAAAATTAAAAATTATGCATTACTATTTCTGTCCTCTAATCAAATTTCTTAGAGTAGAAAAAATACAAATTAAAACCAGAATATCATAATTAAGGAGAACATAAGAACAAAAACCTAACACTAAAAATATCAAATGGAAAGTGAAGTTTTTTTGGATCAGGCTTTTGTTTTTATATTTTTTGTGGGCGAAGAATTAAATTGTGAACATAAATTTTTTAATTATGAATCTTTTAGGGATCGAAAAAGGCCTTAACCTCCCCCAAAAATTTCAAAAAAAACCTTTTGAGAAAATTCAGATTGTGCTCTAATTTCAGCAGCCAATTCATCAGAATTTAAAGGTTCCGGCGAAGGAATAGCCAAAATTATTGCGGCAGCTCTGTTTGCTTCGAAAGCTTCAGATTCAGCATCAATCTCTTCATGAAATTTAACTGCTAAACCGAGGGAGGAAACGGCGACACAATGCAAATATTTTCCTTGAACCTTTAAAAAACATTTAATGTAAGTTTAACCAAAAAGACACGCTTAAGGTGACGAGGGGAAAGGCGGACGTTTGGTCCCAACCAAAATTTTTTTAATCTGACAGGATAAGCATCTCTTGTCAGTCAAACAAAAAATATAAAATCGTTAAAAGTGAGATAACAATACTGATTTCCTGTTTCCGGCATTTTTGTCCTTCGAGTTACACAAACTTCCTGGAGAAGGGAATATAAAAATGATGGCAATCCAGGAGAATTGGGGTCCCTGCGGAAAAAAATCTTAAAAATAAGAAAAAAGATTTTTCTAGGGTAAAAAAGTACGCTGATTACGAATCTGAACTCAGATTTTGAAAAAGTCGAATCCGAACCCGAATATAGGCCCTCGAACATCGAAAACCCATAGGGAAAACCCAAGCTGATTTGGGGTGAAAAATTCGAATATGCAAATTATACCTCATTCGAAAGAGCTTGAAAAGCTGAGTCGAATGACACCGAAATTACCGTGATTGAACAAGATCGGACGAAGTTATACGACAAAAAACAAACAACGTAGACCTATGTTTTTTGTGTCATAACTTCGTCTGATCTTGATCAATTGTGATGATTTTGATGTCATTCGACTCAGCTCGTCTAGCTCTTTCGAATGAGATATTATTTGACCAATTTACGCTCTGTTTATTTTTCGAAATTTTTCCCAAAATGTCAAATATCCGAATTTCGGGTTCGTGATTCGACTTTTCCAAAATCCGAGTTCAGATTCGTAATCAGCATATTTTTTTACTCTAGAAAAATCCTTTTTCTTATTTTTAAGATTTTTTTCCGCAGGGACCCCAATTCTCCTGGATTGCCAAAATGATAACAAAAACCTAAAAAATGGAATTGGGTAAGAAAAAAATTTGTTGGGAGCAAATGTCCACAAAATCAACTAATTTGGAAAAAATCTAGAAAAAAGGCAAACCTTAACCATTCTCATAATTTTATCCAAAATAGCAATAGATAAGCCTATAGTACTCAATCCCAATCGAAAACGACGTCCCAACATTAAAATCCATTTAACTTGTTTGTTGCGGTCAGCAAGGGAGTCCATCCCCTTAGAAATTAATTTTATCGTTTATGAATAAAAATAAACAAAATATATTTAGGTTCGAATTAAAAAATAAAAATTGGCTAAAAAAATAACGAAAAAACTCCTTTAGAAAGAGGAAGAAGAAATTGGACATTTGGTCCCACCAGAAAAATTGATTAAAATTAAAGCTTCCAAAAAATTATTAAAAATATTTACACTTAGAATGAAAGGCAATTGCCTTAGAATGAAAGGCAAAAATCAAACCGCCCTCTATCTGAA